TAGACTGATTCTACATGTGGATGATAACTGTCAAGTTCTGATATAGAGGTAGACTGATTCTACATGTGTATGTTAGCTGTCAAGTTCTGATATACAGGTAGACTGATTCTACATATGGATGTTAGTTGTCCAGTTCTATTATATGCAGGAAGAATTAGTGGAATAAGAAAGATAATCAAGCTGTTGTGTTCTTCAAGTGGTTGTAGGGAGTAATATTCTGATATGATGCTGGTAGACTTTAATTCAACAAACGAAATTAGATTAACTAAGAAATGAAGTTCTGACACAGGTAGACTATGATTATTTGGCATCAAGGTGTGGGATATATGTCGCTCAATCAGTTCTTAGAAACATCCAGATTTCCACGACTTATCATGTTTTTCAGGATGAAGAGTGAAAGTAGACGTTCAACTATGAAATAAATAAAAATGGCCAGAAGTTTGTCCTGTGATTATTGATGTGAAATATTTTAGATATTTCTTAATTATATCCCTCACAATGGGGGGGAATGTATCATCCTGTCTAACCTTCTGTTGTCAAGCGTATCTTTAAAAGTGATTCCTCTAAAAATTTGCATACTGCTTTGCTATGATATGATGTTGTGCCCTTTCACTCGTCATGATATTTGAAGGAAATTTCTCAAGAGTTATGCCCCCTTTGTGTAATTTCTCATACAAAATATTTACTCCAACAATGTTAGAGGTTTTACACAGCAAAAAACTTTTGACAGGCGCCGCGTAACCTCTAACTGCCCATAGCTGATTTTCCCGATGCTGACTATCACATTTTCAAAGTTCTGATTAAGAAAGAGTATATCGTGTTTACATACATTTAAATGGTCAAAAGGGTCCAATAAGTATTCTTTTCCATAAATCCATGATTATATGAGAAATTTCGTGTCAAAGACATAAATAATGAGTTTTTCCTCATTCCAAGCGAAGCAGACAGTATTTGCCATGATTTTAATACAAAAATGGATTACATGTAATGTTTCACAAGCAGAATACAAACAAACTCAGTATCATTTCATTCCGTTTGAAATCCCCCTTGCTATTTTGTATTAATCCAGAAGCCATGTTTTAAATGTAGGTCAGAGATGTGCTACAACGACATGGACATGTATTTTGAGTGTTCTATTCCGTAATATACTATATATTTGTGTCCGTGACATACATATGAGATCTGTATTATATAAACCTTGAGTAGACATCGTTGTCATGAACTGTTAACCACTTAAGTGAGTTTTTCAAGCCAATTTTGTTCCGCCCGGATTTCGGGTGGAAACTGCAAAGAAATAGTGCTTCTGAAATGAGAGGTCGCAGTCGGCAAAATCCTATCCGATTGAAAAAAGGCCGACCAGCGGCCTCTCATGTAATGGGAGTACCAAAATAATTTGTCAAGCATATCTTATAAAGCAATGATGTTATTTCTCTCGGTGTTACTGTTGGCATATTGCTTCCCACTTTTGCGATTTTGTGCCCTTTTGCAAGTCAAATTCGAGTTATGCCCCATTCATATTACTTCTGTCCAGAATATTATGTCAAACATATTTTATGCATTGAAGTACTTAATTTTAGAAATGTTAGTATACCCCCTTCAACAAAGTTTGAGAGGAGTTGTGTTGATTATACTAGAATTAGGTTGCCTGTTTGTCTGTCTGTCTGAAGACACATTTCTGTTCACACAACCCTTACAATTTTTTGCCAAATTTCTTGAAACTTCAGCGATGTGATCAACACACTCTGATTTCAATTACAAATTTTTATAGGAGTTATCTCCCTTATTCAAACCTTTGTCAAGTTCATATGACCTGGAACGGCTAAATATGGTATGCAAGTACATCCTGGCATGTGCAGCTACAGTTTCACGTAAAATAAGTAGGTCATTATACCCTATTATTTGACCTTAATTAGTCCGAAGTGTTTGAGAACATGTGTTGGGGCATATATCTTCTATACTATTTCACTAGAACATGCATCCATATTTGGTATGAAGTAAATCTTGGGATGGCAAAGTATAAAGTACAAAAGTGGGCTACTTTGACCTTTATTTGACCTTAGACATCAGCATTTGAGAAAGAAATGTTTAGGGCATATCTTTTATATCTATTTTTTATCAGGAATAACTAGATCTTGTATGCAAGTTCATTTTGGGTTATTGTGACCTATATGCTTTGACCTTTGATATCAACCTTTGAAATAGTTTGTCTGGGGTATAACATCTATACTAATTCACCTTGAGTGACCAGATTTGGTAAGCAACTTTGTCTTGGCTGGCGGTGTTGAGTACAAAAAGTATGACATTGAGACCCATGCCCTGAGATAGGTGTACATGTATAGCTTGGTGATTATAGAAATCAATACTTGTGGGGGACTATAGATTGCCTTGCAGTACTATGCTGTGTTCAGCCTTTGACTTACAGTTTTTTAATTGCTCACTAACTTATTCAGCGAGGATTACTGTGGACTTTGTACAAAATGCTCACCATTTCATTCACTGAAAAATAAAAATCCTAAATGTGCACTATTGAATTTTCAATCATAGATGGAAACCTTTAAGGTGTCAATGCAAAGAGAAAGAGAATAGTACTAGTACACTTTTAATACATTGAATTTCAGAGAAATAGAAAAAGTAACTGAAAAATATTAAAAAAGACTGAAAAAACGAAAACACAATATGCCGGTATTTCAAGATTTTTATTTCACTTCACCTCTAAAAAAAGATAGATAAACTTATTAGATGATTACTCTTATGACTATAGCTGTCTTGTTTCATACTGAGGCATTGTGGTACTGTTATTACATGATTGATGTTAAGTTAAGAAAAAAATATATCTAACGACTGACTAAAACACTATAGAAAAAAAATATATCAAACGATCGACTAAATAACTACCAAAAAAATAAGATCTAACGACCGACTAAAACACTATAAAAAAAATAAGGCCTTACGACCTTATATATATATAAATGAAACTGATGTATGTCCAAATTATGATTAACTTACTTATGGTAGAAAAGAGGCATTTAACAGAAAAAAACTATATGTATCTTTCCTTTTAAATAACCGAATCACGATTCATTTTGTAACAATGTAAACTTAAGGAGTGTTTGGCCGAGTGGTGTTGACTTTACTGATAATGTGGCATATGTCGACCGTTAGTCGCCTTTACTGCGTTATATATTCGTGGACGCTCTTTCATATGTTATATTTCCCAGTGCATCATAAAGTCTACGTGTTACCCTCACATCAACAACAGTTGGTAGGGGTTACATAATGCAGTTAGAAAAGGATAAAGAACTAATCCCCTCTTACAAATAGGCGAAAATGGTAGTAAGCTTCAAAGTGAATTGTTTTGTTTACCATATTTTAAAGCAAAAGAAGTAATTTCACATGCAAGCATGATTCGACTAAATATATCTCCAGGCCTGTTTCAATGGATATTGAGATCAGCCCATGTCTTGCTTTGTCGGCAAATTTATTTCGATTCCTTTTTCAGCATGCAAAGTCTCGAAACATCGGTCAGCTCTGACGGTATAGCTGACATTTGATGGGATTTTCAAGGTTGCAGCTAATTCTTCTTTAAACACAGAAGATTGTATAGAAACTATTTGAACTGTCTCCTCATCTTCCAAATCGGGAAAGAATACAACGGATCCACTGTCGCCCTCACCTGCGAATGATCTGTTTTCACATCCTTGAATAAGGTATCCTTTTGCTGGATTGCATAGAGGCGTATCATCTCCTGAACCGTTGATTTGGAAGTCTGGGCTCCTGATGTAACCTTTCGTTAGTCCAGTGTTAGCACCTCTTTTGTACACAATATTGTGTATTCTCATCTCTTGTTTCACGGGGACGCAGTTGCAAAGTCTATCATGTTGGTCATGGAAATTAAAAGAAATTCCATCTGATTTTGAAATCTTGATTGCAGCGAAATCGTGTTTCGGTAGGCTAGCGACGCATCTTCCTAAATCTGTTTCTTTTTGGTTTTGTTTATCTATATAACCAACAGCAATATTACCTTCTTCGAAGTAATGTCCGCTCGTCAATGCCACCACGGTATCCTGCTCATCAACTTGCCCTCGTCTATCTTGCGCACGTGTAACCATTCCAAGCGTCCCAGACATTCCTGTTGTTCTATTTTTCAGTGTGCCCCCCTGTTTTATTGAAGTTGGCCTGAGAAATGATCTGGAGGTAAATTCTACTCTCGGTGATTTGTCTATTGAATCACAGGCCAATTTAACCTTTTCTTCCACATGCCGTCGACGTCGTTGTTCCGTAATGTTCCCGTCAACGAATACCATCATACCAGTTGAGAAGAAACCAAAGGCCAAAACTCCATCTGCAGCCAACCTATATTTGGTAAATTATAATAATCATCACCAAATAATGTCTGATGCAGTAAATGTGCCAATCGCGATGATTTATTTAAAATTGTGTAACATCACGCTCTAAAACAGAAAGTTTGATATTACAATAATGACTTTTTTTCTCATTATTTGTACAAAATATGGTTGTATGAAATATTTCTTAAACTGAAAACGTTCAAAAGTCACACGAAATCATGTTTAATCATGACAAAAACTTTCTTTTAGGTGTTTATAGCTAATTGGTTTGCTTCTATTTATGTAGATAATGAATGAATGATACAAAACGAAATATACATGTAGTCAACATTAACGCCAATTTGAAAGTTATCTTAATAGCATATGACTTACTTATTTAGTTCAACAGCAACTTTGTCGGGAATTCTGCCAGTTTCAGGTGATCTTGATGATCTTGACGTGTACTTCCTGTTGAGCAAAGCATGTGCAGCCTGTGTAGCCTGTTCAAATAATCCGTCAAGATCTGGCGAGGCAGAAGTTGCGTTTGACGGTTTATTCAATCTCAGTGCAATTTGATCTGCATACGAAAACAATGGTTTACAAAGAAAGTGAGTAAGAGTTCTTCGTATATCTTGTTCAGTCATGTCAGACACCATCTCTCTGTCATCTTTTTTACACGGAGCTTTGTTTGGTGTTTGTGACGATACGCGAAGAATATCTGCTGCCTGTAACGATAAAAAGCCAAGCAATGATATTGACACATTTAGCTGTACATACAGCAAGTACAATCAAAATATAAAACTAACAATTATTAATACACGTAATTGTAAAACAATCACATGAAATATACATATACAAGGAATATGCATTTAAAAGAGCCTTGTTAGGAAATTACAAATTCACAATCGGAATAATAAGTCTACGGCAAATTATCTTTGACATTTGAAATCAATATAGTTTTTATTTTTGTTAGCACATCTTGTCCTGATATCTATTTGAGCTTATGTCAATGCGCGAGTCGTCTGCCGCAAACATATTTCTTTCATTTCATTGGGCCACTCGAAAGTCTTACGCTCTATTTTTACTGCTGATATCTGCATATAGATCGTCAATACATATTATTATGTATGTGTTCTGTCTGCTATATATGCCATTTTTGGAGTGGAAACATGTTCATACTCTCAATTCAATCTGGCCAATGATAATCAGACCTAATCTGAATAATGCCTCACTGTGGTTTTGTTTTTGTCTTGTACTTATACAAATTCCACAGACGCCATTTGAACTACATGTAAATTATGTGCGAGTTTTTATGTTATAGGCTTATTGATTCATGATATCGTATTCAACTAGATACATTTTAGATGACTACCATTATCCTTAGTGGACGCATTTCAACCAAAAAGCAATATGTTACCAATATAGCCCTATGGATCTCTCCTTTTGATAAACATATGTAACGATATTTACCTGGATATCTAAATTGACGCCCGAGTGTTCAATCACTAAGCAACAAGAACTGCCCTTGGCCTCCTGTATTTTGTGCGACACATAGGATTTCTCTGAAATTGATAAAAAAGCAAATTAATTGATTGCTTAACCAGATTGCAGTTATAATTTTCCTGTACAGTGTCCGTCGACTGCCCGTATGCTGTTGTTCGTCGGCCATCTACTTTTTCCGTATAAAACATCTCCTGAACACCTATATATTGCAACGGTTAAGTGGTAAAGTTACTAAAGTTTACAAGATCATAACTTACATGCACATCGTGACAATAATATTCGTATTGCTAATTATAAAATGACCTTAGCTCACTTGACTCAATATTTACATATAATACAGTCTAACATAACACCAGTCCGTTTCATAAACAATATTCAACAGTTCGCCACATATCCCTATCATTCCCATTCTTTACTGGATAGGCAATACTTCACATGTAAACTACATAACATAAAACACAAACGATTTAAGGAACTGAGGAAACACCTCTTTGTTGATCACTCAAACACAAAACTGAGCAACACACTTCATTGAAAAGCAGATGCAGAATGGTCGTCTTATAAACTGATTTTTCACAATTAAATCAATTACCAGTGGTATGGTAGGAATCTTTTATCTTTCATTTCAAGGAGGCTTTCAAAAGCATAACTTCGAGATCAATAGGCATATTAAAAAACAAATCATAATTTTGTCGTCTGAATATTTCAATCTTATTTAGCAGAAAAGATCATTTGATCAAGTGAGCTTATCATTGTAATAACGGATGTCTATTAAAGCTATTGCCTTATCGATCGCAAGGTATATTACTGAAGTCTCTCCGAATTTCATGTGTAACCAGCCAGAACATTTACGTTGCGATAAATTCTACCTCTGTGGAAGTTAAATAATTACGTTTTGATACATACATTTATCATCGTTTTACTGTCTATATTTCTGTGCTAACCGTGTGGGCATTGAATAGCTTCTTTTTTGGTGTTGCATTGGCAATATTCCCTATATTGGCTTATCCCTACCAGTAAATCAATAAACATAATAAATATGTATAAGGAATCCGTTTTGAACAACCTCATGATAATGTGTACGGTGGTGGCGCATCTTTCAACAATAATGAGTATTCCTTGTAATACATTGTGTAAAAGCGCAGCCTCTATTTAACTGGATACTTTCGTTGATATTAATTCTGTTTCACTTTCAGACGACACAGAAAAAACAATTACTATCGCTGTGATTTTAAGGTTGCTTATACCAGCAGGTCAAAACAGTTACCATTTAATTAATTAGTAAAAGAATACAAAGGATAACGTTTGTCGAAGGGTCACATGACCCCCTGATGTGCAGTACGGTACCGTTTGTTGGCTGATGAAGCTTGCATTATTACTATTTGCTGTAAGCATCAAGCTATGCAAAGATATGTGATAACTGATGTTAAAATAAATGGATTTTTTTCATTTTAAAAACAAGACGCGTGCATTTTGTAGATGCGTACAGGAGACGATTTATGATTATTAGGTGTTAAAAACCTTCAATATATGTTCCGATAAAAAAAAATCATCTTATATCGTCTCTAGCATTTTCTGGTCATGTGGGGTCATCATTGTTTAAACGGTGTTCGTTAACAACCCTGAGTTGGGAAATAAGAAAAATGGAGAAATTTACTTAAACCCTTAAATCTGAATTTCCAATAAACATTCATGAACAATCCTAGGCCAATCGTTGTAAAAAGAAGTATATGGACTCCTACAGGTATATAAACAGGACCCGAACGTAGAAACATACATCTATTCCATCTCATGTCTTCAGCTGACACAACGGTTGGTACTCGAAGGGTTTGGTCATCCAGCAGCAAAATACACGGTCAAATATCGGGAATAGTGGCAAATCGTAAAATGCATACCCTGCAGTACCAAAAGGGGGATTTAACCAACTAAACCTTCGGTTGTGTGAAGCATCATTGGACCAAGGAAACGCAGTGTTGCATAAACGAAGAGAGTGTCCCCTTTTGGTAGAAAGAATGATAATATTAGACCCCGAGAAAACTGAAAAAGTGAGACTGATATAAATGTTTTAATGCCAGTCACGTTGATATCTAACCAATAGTGGCATATAGTTAGTTATAAGTGTTTTTAATTATAAAAAATATCATTGGCTCACTTTCTAGGTCGAAGAAGTAAAAAATGTGAAAAAATCCGAATGGCATTCAAGATGACCTGAGGTCTAAAGCTGCAATACTTTAGGATTTTATGAAAACCGGTCATGCGCATATTCATCTATTGTGTTCTGATAAGGATTAAATTCATCGGGCAAGTTTACCATAGGTTATTTTGGGTAGAACGCTTTAAGGTAATGACATTTGGACAACAGTTATCTAGTGTCAAATACTTAGAGGTTTCCTCGAATTAGTTATCATGTATTTCTTTTATTTTAGTCAGGTTCAAACATAAAACCTTGAAGGGTCATCCCTTTGTGTTGTAAAACAACTTTTTGAAAATGTACCATAGATCACAAAAATCACTATGAACGCTGCAATAGCTTTCTGCTATTGTTTAAATGTACTTTAACGATCTGATATGCATTTTTAAAAGTTATAATGGTATGTTCCACAATCTAGGTCAAATAATTCTCCATTGTTCACTACCGAGTGACAATTATTACAACTGAATGGAATCCTGTTCCATCTTCAATATTTAAAAGATGCTTTCAAATCTCCAATAACGTTTAACCATGATTTCGTGCAAATCAAGGTAAGCTATATACGCCTTCCTGTTCACTTGTAACTCTATTTGGTTAACAATTCCTTAGTCAAAGGAACTTATGTAGACGATACCGTCAAAACAAATATTAAATAATTAGATATTATATATGAGTCAATTGATATTTGGTAAAAATTAAGAAATGGAGATATATTTACCTGCTCATTAACGGAATGAAAATAACGAAATGACGTACCTGTGATATCTGCGTATTTGATATTGTCAAGATTTTGTTTTCTAAGGATGAGGGGAAGATCTTCCTTGATTTCACCGTTTGTCACTACAGTAAACAGCAAATCTTGTGTCTGCAAGATATTTGGCAATACCACAGCTCGTTCTGTTCCAGAGAGGAAGTGTTTCACCTTTTCATATTTAGTAGCAATATCGTTGGCCAGACTACAGTGGTAGTCTAATAAAGGAAAACAATCTCGGCCGCATTTCAACTGATAAACTCGCAATCTGTGATCTGTGAATATACATATATTGATATAAAACAAACAAAAAACTGAATAAGTTTCTGACGACAATTTGTATATATACATGTAGCATACTCCTTTCAGCTTTATATGTAAAGTTACAAGCGATTCAATATCGCCAATTTGTGAGGTTGTTATCTTTGATTCAATGATTGCATGACTAACATCAAAGCACAACTGTGATAATTCAATAAATGCGAATTTATTTTGACTTTTAAAGTAACAGAAAAATGAAAATAAGATAGTTGGGTCGTATAACCTCTGATGAACTAGTCAAATAGTCTAACCTTTATTTGAACGTAGATCGTAACGCCTCTTGTTTGATGATTTTCCAATGTCTTTCAACAATCTGCCTCTTGTACGTCTTTCATTACCTTAAATTTATCATAATCGTAACAACTGATTTCTAATAGGAATTGATGAAATGGTTTGTATTTTTCCTCTTTCATTTTGTTATCATTTTTATCTGTCTGCCCTTTTTCAGTTTAATTTTCTTTTGTCAATTTGTATGAACTTTGTGTTCTATCTAGAGTGCTAACGCACAACTCACCAAAAATACCGTGCGCACACCTTGCATACATCGTTGACACACCGTCCGCACATCGTCCGCACATGGTGCGCACAACTGTGCGATTTAACAATCGTTCGCCCCGTTGTGCGCTTCTCATATGTTATCAGTATTATTGAAACATGATGCGGTGTTTTCAACAAAGGGATTGAAATAGAGGTTCGTTACGAAATTGTTAACGTTACACATTTTTAAGCCGCTCTTGGCGAGAGCCGAGCGGCTTATTAATTCTGTCCAGAGAACGAAATGACGGACCCACTTCCGTTACGGATGCGTGCGCATAATTCAGTCTTGCATGCTTCTGCTATATATTTTCGTTATCGTAAATAGAAAGTAGAATCTCTGACACTCACCTGTGTGTTACGTTACATAAAGTCTTCTGATACTCTTCTCCAAGTAATAATCTATACTTTTAATAATTGCTGAAAACAAAATGTTTATCTCCGGTGCATTCTACGAGTGTTGTGGTGGTGAAATTCGTGCACTACGTTTGAGCGTTTTAGCAACTCGGATTGAGGTCTGAGGAGTGTTACGCGTGTGAAACACATATGATTCGAGAAAGCACATGTGAAGACTGTCAAGCATCGACGCTGTCTGTAGAAGGAAGAAGTAAATATATGTATTTATAAACCGTATTAGTGATGAAGTATAACCTCTATTTTGATGTTTCAAACGGGAACGTAATATGACATATCGTGCTTAGGTTGTTAACGGTAATGCTTAATGGCTCTGAGACGAGACGATATGTAAACTGTGTATGCTTATCAAACATTTCTGTAACACAGCATGCTATTTCTGGTGTATTTATTTATGAAAGTGTAACAATTTAAGAACATGACACAACTGCCGCTGTTGTTTGACAAGAATTCGCGCTGTGTCTAAATATTATCCATCCCGGTGTAAGGGAAATAACTCTTACGTTAGTAATTAATATATAAAGTCGCATTGAGAAATATAATTCAAATATATTCCAAGAACATTTTTGAGATTTTGTACATTCAATGACAGTAAAGAAAGTTACTACATATATTAATAATTATTATTCATATGAATAAATAATAAATAAAAATAAAAGGAATACAATGTCTCTTTTCTCCATGTATTTTCCCCCCATTTTGTTAATTCTTCATTTCACAATCACAAAATGCACCTATTCTTTATTATCCATTCACCGATTGGCATTCTGCACATAAATGCTCATGTCACATCATTGGAGGATGCTAGTTAATGAAAATTACAACAATGCGTCACACTGAAAGAGGGTGAAAAATGAGGAGAGGGAGAAATGTTTTTAACGCATCATGTAAGAGGTGATTGATTTTGGAAATCCCAAAGGCAACATCATCACATGACCTGATTCTCAGTTAGCAGAATACGGAACACATATCTGAGGTATTATAGAAGATATTGATGCTCAACGTCTTACTAAAGCAATTCAATTTAAAGTGGTGAGCGGCTTAAATGTCAGACTGACATAATTCTAGTTTAAAATTTTAAAACGCACTATTTCTGTACACTGTTTTATCTTGTGAAGATAACTTTGCTATATTGTAGGAGTTATTTGAACTACAATGTACTGTTACTATTCATTTTTGACAGAATATCGGACTCCTGTGGGAAATTTGGATATGGTCAGGTAATGCTATGTTTAAAACATAAACTATTTTGGGCAAAAGTTTATTGAATTGTCGGGCGCTTGGAATCCCTAAGCACGCATCCCTTCGATGGCCGATTGGCACTCATATTACGGTACTATTCCGACGGCATCATCGAGTATCTCGACGTGTAAACTGAGTGCTTTTGTAAATATTGCGTGGCAAGTTACGTACTCTGAACCAGTGAATAACATGCTATTTGTTCCATAAACATAAACAGTGTGCAGTTTATATGAAACTCAAGAATGATATGATGCGAAACCCCAAGCTCGTATAAAGCAAATACATAGTTTATGTCTCTGACGCACTGCCACCTTAATGTTGAAATCAATATATTATGTAAATGTATATCATTTTTTTTTCTGTCCGAGCGTAGCAAGCTTATCTGAAAAGATTATCTGGCCGATGATGTAGAATTTTTAGGTTTCGAAACAGACACGCATAAACATAGAGACACATATTTTGTATGGACGTATCCTTACGCAATAATCAAATATAACAATGTTGGAATGATCGGTTCTAATATATATAAGTATCTTTGAATCAATCAGCCGTTAAGTGTACAAAAAGTGGCATTATTGGGATATCTTTCCTGAAATAGACTCACCATGGTCTGGGAGCTTTCTTTTCTTCATTTTACAATTACCGCTACCCTTCAAATGTTCTGTAAAAGAAAACGTTTGAATGAACGATTATCAGGAAATCACCTGAAATCCACTTCAATGATTGCAAACCTAAAATCAAAGCACAACTGTAATAATTCAATAAATGTTAGATAGTCGGGTCGTATAACCTTACAAGAACTTGTCAATTAGTCTTACCTTTATTTGAACGTAGAACGGAACGCCATTTGGTTGATGAGTCTCCACTGTCTTTCAACAATCTGCCTCTTGTACGTCTTTCTTTACCTTAAATATATCATAATCCTAATACCTGGTTTCTAATACGAACTGATGAAATGGTTTATATTTGTCCTCTTTCATTTTGTTTTCATTTTTATCCGTATGCTTTTTTTTGTAGTTTATTTTTCTTTTGTAATATTGTGTGAACTGTGTGTTCTATCTAGAGTGTTACATGCTGGTGTATGCTGGTTTCTATGTCTTGGGAACACATCTGCCTCGCCATAATTAATTTTTACAATTTAAATTATCATAAATACGTTATGAAAAGGTGAGTATCACAATGTAGTAATACAAATGTATCTTAAACTGTTCACGTTTCTACCGCGTGTAAGTTTACAATAAGAGTTTAACAACTTTGTTTATATGGAATATAAGCATCTAGTCAACATTTGTGTTGACCAATTACTAACACATACATTTGATTTGTAAGCATGGACTGATGAACTAAGAATAGCTATCAAATAATCTCGACCTCCATATTTTAAAACTCTTAATAAATTGTAAATATGGAACAAAAGTCAAGAGTGAGAAACATTTGTAAATTGAAGCAATCGGTATAAACTTAAAAGATAGACATTTTTAATTGAGCAACTTAGTAATACTACAGATACAATTTGCTTAAAGCGAATCGAACCGTAGAAAAAACAGAGTTGTTTTGGAACGTGAAGGCTTTCTGTCTCTTCATTGTATCTAAGCCACGATTAACAGTGATTATGGTTTAATTTTCTTGATTAAGTTATTTCCCAACTACTGATCTCTTCATGCCAACTTAAATCTGATATATACTGTAAACGGAAATATGCAACTAAACTATGTTTACAGTCCAACCAGAATATGTGTAAAAAAACAACTAAAATAATAGTATGAAACGCAGTTTAAACCTGAATTATTTATTAAGAGAAAAGGGAAAATAATAGGCGGGTTATGGCTCTTGTATTAATCTATATTTTAATCTTTATGTACATTGAACATGAATCTTATGAACCGATTTTCCACTTTCGTCAAGTACTTTCGTATTTTTTTACTTATGAAATACTGAGATAAAAGGCTGTTCCATTTTGTACCACTTGCTGTTGTTTGATAGCCTGAAACGTATTGCCAATACAAGTAAGCAAATGCGTTGTTATAGTACCGTACATACAAACACGTTTGAATGCAATTAAGTCACATATAGGAAAACGGTCTTTGTTGATATGGAATAGTTATTTATATAAATTTTACGAAAATACCACTTTCCAAACAGAATTGATAACAGCTGCATGCCCATTTCTAAAAGAAAGACTATCAACCTTTTTTTTATTTACATTTTTTTTATTGTTTCTTCTATATACATGTATTAACGTTTGTTTATTTAATTCTATTTTATTGACACATACGTGAGGTAACGCAGGCGTCTAGGGGGTCGCTAGTACTACGAAGGTTTCATTACGTTGAATTGCATAAACGAAAGAAGCGTCATCTATTTCCTTATTTGGACTCTATGGCCTAATATGGAATCTGATATCTACTTATATGGCACGTCATTCATTACTTTTCATTCATATGCAATTTGTTTTGGCAGCGACCCCTTGCGGGNACATAGGGCTTCCCGCCGTTATTGGGAACAAGTGATACAAATAAAATTTGATAATATCTATGCATTGTTTATAGATTCTGACCGGCAAAAGATGGAATGCGATGTTTTCTCTATCAAACATGTACATCACAAGATATGTTATCAGTATTATTGAAACATGATGCGGTGTTTTCAAGACAGGGATTGAAAGAGAGGTTCGTTACGAAATTGTTAACGTTTCACATTTTTTTTAATTTTAAAACGCACCATTTCTGTACACTGCTTTATCTTGTGAAGATAACTTTGTATTATAGTGTAGGAATTTTTTTTGCACTACAATGTACTGTTACTATTCATTTTTGACAGAACATCGGACTCCTGTGGGAAATTTGGATATGGTCAGGTAATGCTATGTTTAAAACATAAACTATTTTGGGCAAAAGTTTATTGAATTGTCGGGCGCTTGAAATTCTTAAGCACGCATCCCTTCGATGGCCGATTGGCACTCATATTACGGTACTATGCCGACGGCATCATCGAGTATCCGACGTGTAAACTGAGTGCTTTTGTAAATATTGCGTGGCAAGTTACGTACTCTGAATCTGTGAATAACATGTTATTTGTTCCAACATAAACAGTGTGCAGTATATATGAAACTCAAGAATGATATGATGCGAAACCCCAAGCTCGTATAAAGCCAATACATAGTTTATGTCTCTGACGCACTGTCACCTTTACGTTGAAATCAATATATTATGTATATGTATATGCTTTTTTTTTGTCTGAGCTTAGCAAGATTATCTGAAAAGATTATCTGGCCGATAATATACAAAATCTTAGGTTTCGAAACAGACACGCATAAACATAGAGACACATATTGTTTATGGACGTATCCTTACGCACTAATCAAATATAACAATGTTGGAATGATCGGTTTTAATATATATAAGTATCTCTGAATCAATCAGCCGTTAAGTGTACATACAGTGGCATTATTGGGATATCATTCCTGAAATAGACTCACCATGGTCTGGGAGCTTTCTTTTCTTCATTTTACCATTACCGCTACCCTTCAAATTTTCTGTAAAAGAAAACGTTTGAATGAACGATTATCAGGAAATCACCTGAAATCCACTTCAATGATTGCATGCCTAAAATCAAAGCACAACTGTGATAATTCAATAAATGTTAGATAGTCGGGTCGTATAACCTTACAAAAACTTGTCAATTGGTCTTACCTTTATTTGAACGTAGAACGTAACGCCAATTGTTTGATGAGTCTCCACTGTCTTTCAACAATCTGCCTCTTGTAAGTCTTTCTTTACCTTAAATATATCATAATATTAACACCTGATTTATAATACGAACTGATGAAATGGTTTATATTTGTCCTCTTTCATTTTGTTTTCATTTTTATCCCTATGCTCTTTTTTGTAGTTTATTCTTCTTTTGTAATCTTGTATGAATTGTGTGTTCTATCTAGAGTGTTACATGCTGGTGTATGCTGGTTTCTATGTCTTGGCAACACATCTGCCTCGCCATAATTATTTTTACAATTTAAATTATCATTAATTCGTTATGAAAAGGTGAGTATCACAATGTAGTAATACAAATGTATCTTAAGATGTACACGTTTCTACCGCGTGTAAGTTTACAATAAAAGTTTAAAAACTTTGTTCATATGGAATACAAGCAGGTAGTCAACATTTGTGTTGACCAATTACTAACACATACATTTGATTTGTAAGCATGGACTGATGAACTAAGAATAGCTATCAAATAGTCACGACCTCCATATTTTAAAACTCTTAATAAAATGTAAATATGGAACAAAAGTCAGGAGTGAGAAACATTTTTAAATTGAGGCAATCGGTATAAATTTAAAAGATAGACATTTTTAATTGAGCAACTAAGTAATACTAAAGATACAATTTGCTTAAAGCGAATCGAACCGTAGAAAAAACAGAGTTGTTTTGGAACGAGAAGTCTTTCTGTCTCTTCGTTGTATCTAAGCTACGACTGACAGTGATTATGTGTTTAATTTTCTTGATGAAGTTATTTACCAACTACTGATCTCTTCATGTCAACTTTAATCTGATATATACTGTAAACGGAAATATGCAACTAAACTATGTTTACAGTCCAACCAGAATATGTATAAAAAATCCTAAAATAATAGTATGAAACGCAGTTTAAACCTAAATTAGTTATTAAGAGGAAAGGAAAAATATTAGGCGGGTTATGGCTCTTGTATTAATCTATATACTTTCGTAAGTACTTACTTATTAAATACTGAGGTGAAAGCCTGTTTCTTTCTGTGCCACTTGCTGTTGTTTGATAGCCTGAAACGTATTGCCAATACAAGTAAGCAAATGTGTAGTTATAGTACCGTACATACAAACACGTTTTAATGCAATTAAGTCACATATAGAAAATGGGTCTGTGTTGATATGGCATAGTCATTTATATAAACTTTACGAAAATACCACTTTCCAAACAGAATTGATAAGAGCTGCATGCCCATTTTAAAAAGAAAGACTACAAACCATTTTTTTTTTTACATTTTTTTATTATTGTTTCTTCTTTATACATGTTTTCATTTTTGGTTTGTATAATTCTATTTTATTGACATATACGTGAGGTAACGCAGGCGTCTAGGGGGTCGCTAGTACTACGAAGGTTTCTTAACGTTGAATTGCATAAACGAAAGAAGTCTCATCTATTTCCTTATTTGGACTCTATGCCCTTATATGGAATCTGATATCTCCTTATATGGCACGTCATTCATTACTTTTCATTCATATGCAATTTGTTTTGGCAGCGACCTCTTGCGGGGTCTGATATTGTCTGATAACATTCATTCCTAAAGAAGTGATGCCATTTTGTGGTTAGCCATCGAATAGCCAGAGAAGGCATTCATTTCGATAATTTCTAAACTTGTCAGATGTCCGTACAAAATACAACAATGGATGTATCTTGTATGTATCAAATTAATAATAATTATTCTGATTAACTTTCTAACGAAGATCTGCTTGCTGGATTGTGCTTTCCGCGCTCTTCTCCGAAGCGAATGGTTTCCCCTGACCTACTTACCTTAGTGTTCAAACCTAAATTCAGTACAGTTCCTGTCACAATGTTTGGGTCACTCACGTTTTACTATATATCACAAAAAATACCACTGCAAATAGGTCTGAATTTTTACCATTGACCACTTCAATATGACTATTTTTGCCGTCAGAATTAAGGTATTCTCTCTAAAATATTATGTTAATTGTACATGAGTCTATCGCAACACAGAACAAATACATTGACACAAGTAAAGAACGGAAAAGCTAGATGCTTTGATAACTTTAGCTACTTGTCAAAAAGCATGTAGCCGAGCTAGCTGATTGAGGCCAAAGATCACTGCCGCGGTTTACCTGTATTTCTGCAAAACCTTATCTCCCTTAGTAGAACACTTGACTAACCCGATCAGCCGGATTTGAATGATGTTGGTATATTTGTAGGTTTGAAACATATTTGTTGGTTATTACAAAGCTTTATCTCCCTCAGATGTAATATTAGACTAACCCAATCAGTCAGATTCAGATGAGCTTGTGCCAGTTTTGTAATATGTGTCGAGATGAACCTTTTAGTTTACAGGACCTAGGGCTTCCCGCCGTTATTGGGGACAAGTGATACAAATAAAATGTGATAATATCTATGCATTGTTTATAGATTCTGACCGGCAAAAGATGGAATGCGATGTTTTCTCTATCAAACATGTACAGCACAAGATGTGTTATCAGTATTATTGAAACATGATGCGGTGTTTTCAACACAGGGATTGAAAGAGAGGTTCGTTACGAAATTGTTAACGTTACACATTTTTTTTAAATTTTAAAACGCACTATTTCTGTACACTGTTTTATCTTGTGAAGATAACTGTATTATACTGTAGGAGTTATTTGCACTACAATGTACTGTTACTATTCATTTTTGACAGAACATCGGACTCCTGTGGGAAATTTGGATATGGTCAGGTAATGCTATGTTTAAAACATAAACTATTTTGGCAAAAGTTTATTGAATTGTCGGGCGCTTGGATTCCCTAAGTACGCATCCCTTCGATGGCCGATTGGCACTCATATTACGGTACTATGCCGACGGCATCATCGAGTATCTCGACGTGTAAACTGAGTGCTTTTGTAAAGATTGCGTGGCAAGTTACGTACTCTGAACCAGTGAATAACATGTTATTTGTTCCAACATAAACAGTGTGCAGTTTATTTGAAACTCAAGAATGATATGATGCGAAACCCCAAGCTCGTATAAAGCAAATACATAGTTTATGTCTCTGACGCACTGCCACCTTAATGTTGAAATCAATATATTATGTAAATGTATATCATTTTTTTTCTGTCCGAGCGTAGCAAGCTTATCTGAAAAGATTATCTGGCCGATAATGTACAATTTTTAGGTTTCGAAACAGACACGCATAAACATAGAGACACATATTTTGTATGGACGTATCCTTACGCAATAATCAAATATAACAATGTTGGAATGATCGGTTCTAATATATATAAGTATCTTTGAATCAATCAGCCGTTAAGTGTACATACACTGACATTATTGGGATATCATTCCTGAAATAGACTCACCAAGGTCTGCGAGTTTTCGTTTCTTCATTTTAACATTACCGCTACCCTTCCAACGTTCTATAAAAGAAAACGTGTGAAAATAAAAACACAATATCATCACGGAACGATTATCAAAAAAAACGAAAGCTTGCTGTTATTAAACGAACACTCAATTTGCTGTATATGTTGGTCTTTTGAATTAGAATAATATCACCTAAGTATGACATTCAATTTTCTCACATTTATAGTTGTTGTACTTAAAAAAACATATTAACGCTTTTACATCCTTTCAACAAATGACTCATATCAAGAAAGAATATATCCTTTGATGATAAAGATAAAGGATGAGCGTCTATAAGGCTCTTTTATGGGCTTCGGTATTTTCGGATTTTCATCTCTTTAATTTGTTCAAAGATGTCCCATTGCATTACATGCCGAAAAACTAAGGTAAAAGTTTGACTGAAAGTGAGTTTATGGGGGTACCAAAAGGGGGAGGGTAAATCACAAAAACAATTTGATGTTTTCAAAATGAGCATAAAAACCACAATAATAACATTTCTGGTTTTGAAAACATGAGTAAAGTAAACAGGCATATATAAAAGAACGAAAAATTATAGAAATTCAATCGTCACTTAAAGATTGCTTATATTAGATGGGGGATTAGGGCAGGGAGTTGGTTAAGGTAATTTCAAATAAAAGTCGTTTTGTTTTCTCAATAACCTCCTTTCTAATTCATATTTTGATTTAAAATTAACAGCTTTACTTATTTGAGTACACTTACATAAAATGCGTACTCATTAAACACTTTCCTTTTTTTATACTGAGGTATGTCTTTTGGACACATCTCAAACTTGGCTATTCCAAATATCTCTCAAATATAAATGGATCAAAAGATGCAAGACGCTATAATAAGTATAATATATTAACAGTTGAAATTGTATATTATATATATCATATAATATTTGCTCAACACCTGTGGCCTAAATGAGTTCCATGTCCTGATTTGTTTTCTTACTTATCAAAGTTATATTACAAATAAAAAGTGGCATTTACCACCACAACTACTGTAAAATGATTAATTTGATATATGAAGTTTAATTCGCTGGTAATTTTAAGTCTCCTTGCCTCAAATAAAGAGTGTGTTTAATCGTTACAGTTAACCCATTTTATTGTGATATCAATTGTTCTGTCTATTTGCAATTTAAAGGGCTGATTGTACATACAAGGCATTTTTGGATAAGCATGCAACTTGGCATAGATATTGGTTAGTTTCATTCTTATCCCACTGTGAAGTAGCTACAGTACTTATCACATGAAGGTATGTAGATTAAACAGGCTCAGTAGAGTGTTTATAGCAATCAGAGGTGTGTATGACATCCTAGGCTGACCCAAAGCCAGATATGTCATGCGTCGAATACGCCAAGTTGTATAGACTAGTATTGTAAGGGAAAATTTGGTTATAGGCAAGGAGATGCACTTTGGTCCTTGTACTCCAATACACAAGAAAAGGTGTTTTGTTTAGTAAAAAGGCATTGGCAAGGAAAAATTATATAAGTATAAGCTTGGTTATTGGAGCATTGTATGCCTTTGGACTTTATAAAAGTAGAATGTTAAGAATGGAATTGATATCGGGTTTCTTTATAAAACACGAAGAGGCTAATTGATATTTTAGTGTCTCTTCTAATTTCTTATTCATAGACTTTTCTTTTCAAGACTTAATGTTTATAGTTTACTATAATAGCGTGGAAGTTAATTAGGACGAATTTTACAAAACATGCATAAAAAAAACATTTATTAAAAATCACCTTTTATTTATCGTGACTGGATTACTTTCCTTACCCAATGTCCTCCATGCTAAGTTTGTTCTCTGATTAGTAATACGACACACACACACCATATCTAAGACGTAGACAAACGTGAAAATTTGATTTGAGGAATTGTTTAGAATTTTTCGAAGTCATTGTGGTTAGTTACTATCTCAAAAACCACTTGCTTGCAATAAATACTTAGAAGTGCTTTCATACCAGAAAGACGGCTTTCAAATAATTTGAATGAAACAACCAGTTAAAAAGACATGAATAAAGTCTTAAATGGAATCGGCATGTGTATCGTGCAATAAACAACATGGGAAAAACGGATATGAGAATTTCATGCAATTATATATAATGGAATGACATTTAATATTGTTAAGTAGTCTTAATTGGTGCTTTCATGGATGAAAGGACGATAACCCCTATCAAGTCTGTTCGATTTAGGTTACCGTGAAATGTGTAAAATATTTATATGCTTTATTATAAAGATGATTAGAAAACGGTGAATTTTTATCACCCCAATAAATCGACCAAAGCAAGATTCAATACTTATATTTCAATCAACGCGTTTTTTCAATAATTGAAACTTGTGAAATCCATTCGGATCGTTTGTCCCAGATTCTGGAGCTTGTGCAAGTCTACGTGTTGACGTAATGTAAAAGAATAAAGTCGGTCATTGAAGGACCGTCATACAGCATGATGGTTTACGTTGATTGTTTAATACAGCCAAATTATGTAGAAACAAAACACAAAACCATATTTTAAATTCATTTAATTTGTGCCGATGAATTCATTAGCAATCACATTTTCCAATGTGTCATCGTCGAAGAAAAATGTCTAGACGCGGTGCACAGGCTCAGCTGAAAGTCTACGGCAGCCATCTTTTTACTAGCTCGAAGTGGAGAACCGCCAACTTTCGAGGTTCTGCACCTTCTGGAATGTGAAGCTGCAGTTATTGAATGTCGAATTACACATGAAACTAGACGTGGCTTGAAGGGACGAAACAGTTGGCTGTTCGGCATTAATTCATATAAGATGGGACCACATGGATCTCCTACAGGAGTTCGTTACAAATGTCTGAAATACACATATGCTATACTGATATGGGTCACAGGACAAATAAACATACATTTTTACACATGTTGTATACTGATAAGAGTTACAGGACAAATAAACATCTATATGTTTGTTTATGTTTGCTGTGACCCATATCAGTTATAGCATGATATGTATATTTCAGACATTTGTAACGAACCCTGTGGATTTACGTTGACGGTTTGTATGTACCTGGGGTTGCCTACTTACACAAGGCAGAATGGGTAGCTGGAAGGAGAATTTTAAGGGCAGTACATGACTTTTCACTACCGCTAGCAAGCGTTAGCTGATCATATTTTGTTGATTGATCGTTTTTGGTAGTTTGAACAATTTCTTGTGTTGCTTCAAAACAAATGTGAAATCTCAAGTGGTATATTTGTTTAAACATGTCAACATTTATCTCCCTTCGCAAAATCATACGCACAGGCAATGTTAATCAGGTCAAATTCATCGGCAAATGAAACAGGTTACATTTGGTAGTTGCATTGAGTCCAGGTAGAATAGGAATTGAAATACATGTATAACATTTTAACAGCCTGGCTCATACTAAGAAGGTGTCCTCGGATGATAAGGATACTAATGAGCCAATCTTAATGGTCACGTCACTTACATGTCATAACTTTAACACCGATGTATAACACTTAACCCGATTACAATTAACTTATAACGATCTTAATTATTTTTTTCCGCGAAAATGAACCATAAAGAAAATAGCAGCTCTCTTATAAATATTTAAGCAAAAATCACTTTATTAAAATTTCTATTTCAATAAATAATGATTTAAACAAGAACAAAACGAAAAATATGAAACAAACACCAAATATTATCATATTCTGTTTCGGTAAAATCTTGCAGGCAGTGGTCAAAGGAAACTATAGAGTAACAGCAAAAAACATATAAGAATACCAAGGTATTGACAAAAGTGAAATTCTAGCTCAAAATCGGGAATACTGGTGCATGAACAGTGTACTGGTACAATGGAAAGACAATAATTATAAATGGTCAAAAGGGCCGTTTGTTGCAGCAAAATATGTACGTTGTTTGACTTTCTCATCGACAAACTGAGTTGAAATAAATACTGCCTCTCCTTGTGTTAATCAAGAGCTAAACGACCTCAGAATGTTTTTAATCCTCAAAATTGAGCTAGTATTTCATGTATCGCGGTAAGCACCGGGGACTAGCTTTACACATAGAGTAATCATTAGAAATACAAAGCATTGATATATCGATCGATCAAGGTGATTGAGATTTTTGTTTCTGTGTCAATCTGTTTCTATAGAAAGTGTTAAATGTTAATAGAGTTCGTTACATCCTATGGCTACTGCAATGTGACAAAATGTGTAAAAATAACATGACTTAATACCTTGTCGTTATCCCATACACTTAAATTGTAATAAGAGCGTAGCTCTCGGGCGGCGAAGGCGTCCGAGCGAAGCTTTTAAAATGGTAACACATGTGTGCGTAAACAGAGTTGCTTCCCCTTTCTAGACCTTGCCTTTAAAAAAAATCATCCGGAAGAAGACGTCCAGTGGGGAAACAGGAAGTGTCTCCTTGAAGCAAAAGACAATTGTTTTTAACCCATGCATGAACATCTTCATATAGTGAAAACAATACCCATGTTTTATTAGTTATTTATTAAGGTAAAAACTAATATACATTCTGAATGAAAAAAATCTATTACATACATTTAGATACTAGCAGGAATGAAACGTCGTTCAGAGATTATCATACTATGACGTCACAAGCACGTCACACTCCATCGGCCTTCATCGGTTATTTCCGGAAGGATGAAAAATAACCGGGAAATCTTGGAACTGATAGCTATTGCATTTACCTCTTTGTCGATGCTTCATGACTTTTTAATTTCAGTTTTTGCCACAGCAAAAGTAAAAAGTAAAAACGCGGATGTTTCCTGAAGATCCTTTATGTCATCAACCATGTTCTGTTAAAATTTCTACCGGGAGATATTTTTAAAAAGAGCCGCATTACATCAATAGGTCAACGTATACATTTATTTTTCATCGTCTTAAATTTCATCAGATTTTGATTTTAATTTGTTGAGATTATGAACGAAATAATTGAAAGTTTTTAAAGTCTAGATATAGTCTTTACATTATTTATGCATCACCACTCATAAAAGAATCAATGGAAAATGCATTTATGACGAAATTA